ACATTAACGACCATGAGACCTACATATGGGCAAAATTTCAAGACATAATTTCGTCATTTGAATTTTTTGTAAATACCTTGTCATAGGCCGAAAAATCAGTAAAATGGCCATAACCTTCGAAAGAAGCAGCATGGGCCCAAATCCTCTTAGGCTTTTTCTTAGCATACTGACCCCTACATATGGGTAAAATATAAGCAAAATCGGCGTGAATCACTTGAAACGGTTCCCTCGTTAGTCTATATTCTAGCGATAAAGCGAAAAAAAAAGCTATTTATGAACATCTAAATATGAATATAATTAAAATTAGAGTTTTAGATTGGCTAATCCATTTGATCGTATTAATAATATATCTTATTAGATTAAAAGCATGCTGAACTTTTTTCGCTAGTTCATTCATCATTGATAACTAATAAAAAACAATTTCAAGAATTAATTTAAAGAGAAAAAAGAGCATGTAGATGACGAGTTCGAAACATAGTATATCTAAACCAATATCCACACTCGAAAAATGATACTCTATAATATCTTCTTTTTGTAGTGCAAATACAATACAACATATTGCATCCATTAGATGAAATTATTTTTCTTTCAGACATGCATGTTTTATAGTTTTTGAGAGTAATGCCATAATCTATTTAAAAAATTAAAAGATAATACTGTTACATTGATTTTATTTTATGAAAAAGAAACAAATTGAGTAGTAAACAAAAAACCTATGTTTGATTTTGTATCTTTAGATCATTGATTCAAGTTTGTGTAAGTAATTTTGAATATTGTTAGCAAGATAGTTGGGATGATCCAATACATGCAGCTGAACAGATATGACATCGACCAATATCATTTGTAAAATACTCAATACAACAGTGAATAAAAGGATGATCATCATCGATAATCAATATTTCTTCAATTTCATCATTTTTAAACCAATAGTTAAGGTCAACAACACAGTAAATTATTGTGATATTGAGAATAAATCTACTAGTTATTCGTGGCATATAGATGAGTATTTCGTCATAAAGACAAGCACCATCAATAAAGTTTGGTCGATTTTCAATGTTGAAATATAAAGTGAGGTTTTCTAGATATGACATTCATCGAAGCAATGGAACTATTACATTATAATACTTTTCTGTTGGTATACCTGAAGCAACGAATAATGTTGTCAAATTAGGTAAATTACTCTGGAAAAAGAATGAAAGTACATAATAAATAACAATATTTCAGAGGGAAAATATCTTTACCTGATTACCACTGTTTAATATTGGAGCATCAATAGAATTAATAATAGCGGTAAAAGCTTTTAGGGTGGGCGTGGGTGTGTGGGGGTGGGGGTGGGGGTGTGGGCGCCCAGACCAACACCCGCACCAACACTCATACCCACAACAACATCCACACCCTCAAGCTGCTCCGACAAGATATTGCAGCAGTTTAGACGATTCAATAAAATAAACTGTGAATACATTTCTATTCGATCTTTCTTCCTTCAACACTTTTGTTTTCAACATTTTCAGTCAATCTTTCTGTTTCTTCGGATGAAATTTCATCTACCGTTGTTTTTTATTTCATCTGTAAACAATTAAGTAACTTTTTATAAAGAAAGGACTTGGCATATTTTCATGATGTAGAATACAGACATGTCAAAGAAACAAGTTTTGTCAAAGATAGAACTACATTGATGTGAAAATATGATATTTCCTAAAACAAAAATTTCTAAATGTATACAAGACAATGATTTTATTTATCTATTTGACGGTGTCCTTAATCTTTCAGCTGAAAAATACTGCGGTATGAGATGTGACTGTTACTAGTTAGGATATGAATGTGTGAATTTGTCGGGTGTGGGTAATAATATTCACTTCGTTTGCATGCTCACACCCGTACTCACACTATTCAATGCTATCCATTTACGAATGACGATCAACAAAGAAGCTATATCATTTTTTTTATTTAATATTATCAGAGAACTTACTTTTAAAAACCCATCGTACAATCATATCTACTTTCTTGTTGTCAATCATGATATCTCTGATATTTAGTCAAATTTATTTAAAAAACTATGTTAATATCAATTTTCACAACTCTTTATGTTAGTTCGATAAATATTTATATAGTTTTGAATGAGAAAAAAAACGATTATAAAATATCGATTAGTACCCAAATGAAATGCACAAGTTATCAAAACCAAACTCTGTTCCGTTTTCAGCCAGTCCAGCATGTGGTGTTCCGCCTGAGGATGTGAAATAAATCGTATCCCAGTTAGAACATGCACCACATGAGATTGTTGTCCTATTCATTACTGGCATTGAAAAGCTAGCAGCTACCAAATTAGTGCCAGCACGAAAACCATATATGAACCAGATAAGATTATCTCGCCAAGCAGATGAAACAACCACTGAATTAAAAGCAAATCTTGTACCATTAGCTGTCGTTATTGCAACTGTTGCACCTCCTGGATTATAACCAATGAATGGTAGAGAAGTTGCAACAGTCTGATAACCACTTGTTGGCATTGTTGATGTATTGAGATACGAGACATTTGTCCAATTGAGATTTTTGTATCCATTTGGAACTACACCAGAAGTACTTGCTTGACCAGGAATATCATCAAATGTGACGCGTGTGGTACAATCTAATAGTAATAGACAAAAAAATAAAATAATTTTTATGTATGCCCAAAATTTTTTATTGATGACTTACAAGGTGCAGTAGTTGTAGTCGAAGTGCTAGTCGTGGATGTAATTGTAGTTGCAGTTACTGTCGTCATCGATGTTGTTGTTGAAGCAGTTGCCGAAGTTGTACTTGTTGTTGTCACTGAAGTTGTTGTTATTGTTGATGATGTTGCAGTTATTGTCGTACTAGTAGTCGCTGTAGTAATATTAGTTGAAAGGCTTTTTGTTTTACCTAAAAATTATCATTCTGATATATATCTATGATTAAATTATTCGAGCTTGGTAGAGTTCCCATAGAATCCATCATATTTTTCTAAAAATAGGAGTTCACAAGAACTTGAACAGTCTTTCGAAAAATGAATATGATTATTTTGCTATTTAGAAATTATATTTTACGAAGACTACTGTGTTTATACTTCACAACACTATGCATCTTGATAGGTTTTCCACAAAAAAAAACAGTCTTTCAAAAGAGAAGCCATGAGGGGATCAAGAATTTGTATAACATAATTAAATTTTACATTCATGTTCAGCTATGATCGTACACTTGTCCACTTAGAGAAATCTATTGATTCGAAATGTTATGCTAAGCAAACGCTTTATTGTCGAGATATGAACTTTTCAAAAATTAACCTTTTCCTCGGTTTTTCTGAAGATCTTACACCTTATAGCTTACCTATTTCTCAATCAACTTACAATGTAAGTCTTTTTTTCCAGTAACGCCTCATTTGAAAAGAAAAAAAGTAAACAAGACTAACTACTATTTCCTATACAGTATATTACCTTCAACTGACGGCGCGCCTGCTGAGACTGAAGAAACAAAATAACGTAAGTAGATATTTCCTCACCTTTTGGCTCAATTTCAGTTCGTTACTTCAGCTTCTACGATTGCTCCGTTAAGTAAGGCTACTAGTGACCTTTTACGTTCAAGCGATGTAATTTATGGTGGAAAAGTTTCTAAAAATACTAATTGGAAATAAGAAGATTTGAGGTTCCCAAATTGAACAGTACGCCATGGAAATGATCGATTTCGAGAAGTTTCGGAAAACTTCATAGAAGGAATATTTCAACTTGGAAATCAGCTATTTTTTCACTTCTTTCCTGTCATATTCGATCGGAAAAAGTTGCAAAGTCTTCCAAAAAAAAGCTGGGATTGTTCTTCGGTAATACTTCTTTGATAGACCATGCGATATGGCCGTTTACAGTGCGCCTACAAGACTTTGGATTCAACACTTACATGCGATAAAAAACATATGGAGCCCATTCTATCATTCCTAGCCCTAAGCCTTTCTAGTCTTTGTTGCTGTTTTGTGTAACTTGTATGTTTACCTCTGCGTACGTGATGAGATTTGTGTGACTCAATCAGAGACAAGTCCGCGAGTGATGAGATATACTTTAACTATCATGCATACATAGATAAACTTGCATAGATATAGTCATAGCTATAGATTGATACTGTAAGGAATAAATTATCTTGTATTTACAAATGTAATTCGCTCATTTTTCACATAAATACAGGGGTAATAATATAATACTGGCATTGCTAAGAGCGTCTTCTCGGGCTTAGTTCATGCTGATCCAGCCGCAGAAGTCGGTCGATAAATCATGGAAACATGTAAACAATATGCCGAATCAGAAAGATATTCTACTGAAAATGATGACTCTTCATAATTATCTAACCATCCGAAATATTATAAATCTAGACGCATTCTATCTGTAGCTGGAAGAAATATTCAAGAAATATGATGAAACCCAATTGTCTCCAGTTGGATTATGGGTATTTTTTCTCAGCATGTCCAATGGTCCGAATGATCGATCTAAATTGCGGTAGTTTTTTCGATGAATGTTTGATCATGTACAATGAATTTTTCGTTTATTCTCGATTGGTTCTGGTGTGATCCGAAGATCAAAATGATCGGCCTGAGCTTTTCAAAAGTTGTGAATAGTAAATTCTTTTTTGAAAAATTTTAATTAACAAATATTGTGCAAAATTTGTTCCTCTATAAGAAACACTATTATTTTGTATACTTTCAAAGCCAGCACAGTAACCGAAAATTTAAAATATCATCAACAACTACTAAAAGTGTGTTCAAAACTGATTTATTCAACGATCAAAATTCGTTGACAAGCAAAACCTATGTCTCAATTAGAGTGACCATTAAAAACTGGGCCAGACAAAATGTGTCATTGATAATATTATTTCATCGAAAATTCACTGGATAACATCGCAGATGAGTATTGAACATACACGAGGTAAGGAGAATCAGAAGTATATTTTTGGATGAAACAATATTATTAATGACACATATATTTTTTGGCTCAGTTCTTCATGTTGCTTCCGACAATGGCATCGATTGCGCTTGAAAATGATTTCTTTTTATCGTTGCATAAACAAATAAAAGCTTTAGAAAAAGTTCAGTTTAGTATTGAAAACTTTTCGAATTAGAGCTTTTGAATATGTTTTAGATCATAAAAATTGTTGCTTGAATCTAAAAAACAGTTCATCTTGTTTAGTTTTATTTTCTCTTGCAAGTGGGATCTTACTCAAAAAAATCTATTATAAAACGATTGATAAATAAGGAAAATATGAGATGTAGGATTTTCGGGAAAATTCTTTGATTTTTAGAAAAGCCGATTATTTTGACAACAATAGCATTTATTTCTTCTAGCATTTTGCATTAAAAGATGTCTCGACATTGACTATCGAGCACGCATAGTTTAATTTACTTATGTTTCGATAATCTCACAACGCATACGTATTACTATGAAAGTTTTATCATTTAGAAGTATATCTATCTGACAGAGAACCACATTTATAGGTCTTTACATTCAAAAACAAAGTAATATTTACTTAAATCAACCAAATAGATTGAGAGAAATATAGCAAGAATGATTCCAGCAAGCAACGATCCAATCACAAAGCCAATCAAAACAGCAGTTGAACATGGACAACAACATCTTAAATTACATTCAATCATTTAAAGCATAGATAACAAAAAAAAAATTTCATCAAAAACTACTTGTAAAAAGCTGCTGAACGTCGCTTGCGTCTGTTTCGTTTTCGTTCATCTTCATCGTTACTATCACTTTTAGATTTCTTTTGCTCATCAATTGTTGGCATATCCCAAACGCTAAACGGCTTCTCATCCATCATCGACAGTAGAATTTGTTTGAATGGTAACTCGATGAATGAAAATGATAAAATGGATTATGTACTTAAATTACGAAAAAAAAAAGTACTTTATTAATCAGAATTTTAATGTAGTTTGTTGAAACCTGTACGAGTCTCAATCATGAATGTAGATGATTCTTTTTCTTGTAAATATTAACATTTTTTTCTTTTCTAATGTTTATTTATCGCAATTGGACATCTATAACTAATACAATAAGAATATTGTAGACAAATCTTATATACCACATTAAAACATTGATCATACACAGGCCATTGTGACGTAGGTTATGGAATTAGATGTCTTTATCTATTTCTGAAAGGTATTTATAAGTATATCATGAAATTTTCATTTACTTTACATATAAATATGTGAATAGATTAAGATGTAGTCTTAAATTCAACTAAGCTCCAATATTGTGAAAGTTATAACATGTGATTTCGAAGATATAAGCATTATATCAAGCAGAATTTTTGCGTGATAGTTATCAACAAGAGTTCGTATTTTTCTTTTTATTAGCAAGAGCGAAATCAGTACATCAAAATTCATACTGTATACATTTTTGGCAAATTGAGACTGAAGAAAAGAAAATTGAAAAAAATCAAGTCATGTAGAAGTCTTTCAGGGATATGTCAATACAAAAAAAAAATATTGTAACTGATCTTGATAATTATCAATGATTGAAATAAACTAACAGTCTAACCATTTTACCTCTCATAGCGGTTCCTGAAGAGCCACCAATAAAATGATCCGATATACAGAATATGAGCCTTTCTACTGTGCTAATGATGCAGTCACATTCATCTAGTGTTCTGCTCTTGTTGCAGGATAGTTTTGACTATTTCCATGGCCATGTGGTAGGAGAATGGTGGATGTAGGTGTTTATCTTCTCTTAGCTCACATCCATCCACATCAACAAATAGTTACTCTTGTGACCACTAAGGATTAAAGGATTAACAAAAATAAAAAAAGCTAACTATGACGCCAACGAAATAAACCCTTGATTTTTTTTAGAGAACTGAGCAAATCTTATTATTGTTTTGCATGATTCAACTGAAAAGTTTGTTTAAATAGAATCGGCAACCAGCAATTTTGCTCTTTTGAATAAATAAAAACTCAATTTTCTAGTCTACTGGTATAATATAGAAGTACTGCGACGCATGTGTTTCATTTCTTTGGTATCACGTGCTGATTGTATAATTTAGACTTTGTTCATAAACATGCAAAGAAATGGCAGAACACATAAAATTACAAATTGAATTTTGCTTTTGTTTGTTGGAATATGCTACCGTGAAAGATCTTCGTATATAGGCTAATTCTCACAAAAATGTAAACATTTCTTTAACTAAGCTTACCAGGTAATTCAGTGTTTATTTTAAAAAAATCATTGTATATAGCAAAACTTTCAAGAAATGGAGTTTTGTGATTATATTATCAATCGAGTAATCATCACACATTTAGTAGATAATATCTTAATAGCAAACATTAAAATTAGTTGTCTCTCATAATACAATGGGATCATTTGAGACCAATAAAAGCTAAAAAGGATTCGTGATTATGCCTTATTCATCTGCAGTTATGATTGTTTTATTATGTTTTTGAACTTTGAGCATGATATTTCTAAAAGATTGCCGCATGAGCTGTTGATCTAATATTTCGACGGTAGGCAAATCTTGAAATCATCAGAATATCCTAAAAAAATTAAGCATAACTAAGCATTTTATTCTCAATATATTCAATACATAATGAAAGTTTCGCTCCTATTGAAATCAATAAATTTTTATCTCGATCGACTATTATTAAATCATTGACGAGCTGCAACGGTCCAATGTGATTTCAATTTATCTTGAGTTACGACGTGAAAACGACATTTATGCACATGCAGAGCAAATTGAGAAGCTAATAAATGTTGATATAAGCTGTGATTCATATAACCATCATATATTGAGAATGTTGTGCCATTATACAAATCCCATCCCATAGGTTGATGTAAATATGAAGAGAAGAAATTGTATGAATCGGCGTTATATCCTCAGGTTTCATCCAAATAATCGTACCTGTGTCTCATCAAGGAGATTTCTTTTTTTTAATGTCGCCATTGGCTTGAACTTCTGCTGATCTAATTTTGATGCCTTGTTTACGTGGATGATACTCAAGAGTTTTGCGGTATTCTTGTAACGTAACGTCCATTAACTCGAGTGTGAAAATTATTGAAAACGTAGTTTGAAAGTTGATTGGAAGTCACAGTTCAGTGATACAAGATATAGTAGTCGAGTGTCTGTAGCTATTGTACAGTCAATGAATTTGGGTGACTTGGTCTTTCAGGTTTAGTCAGCAGTCCTGTTTCTTAGAAACGAGCAAGAACACGACTAACTATTTGACGATGACAAGAATGTTGACATGTTATCGTACTGAACTCACTGTTTAGCTTTCGTAGTTTCTCCGCGGTAAATGAATATTGTTTGCGTATCAACTACTACATTTTGAAATTATTTAATTTAAAGGAAAACAAAAATATCTGTTGAAGATAATTATGAGCAATGAATTGACAGAAACTAATATATATATAATTATTATATAGCTGTTTCATATGCGATTATGATAAATGAGATGAACAATTTTGTCTAAGGACGAAACTTTTGTTGGATACTGATTGAATACTCAAGAAAAGTCTATTCTGAGCATCTTCCTATCAGGTTGAATCATTGTCGCAATAATCAACACATTGATAAAAAAAACATTAGCTGGCTGACATCCTTACGACATTCTATTGGTTTCGAGGTCTATTTATGAGCAAACCTTCAGATCAAAAAGCGACAAGTCGATCTTTTATAAATGCTATACCTCGAAGACGAAAACTCAATTAAATGATCATAGCTTCATCTAGATCGAACAAACATCGCGCGAATAAGACTACACAAAGTACTCTACAGTGAATATTACTATTATGAACTCAGAATTTTAAAAGTTGCTTTCTCAAAGCTATGTATTCAATCTCAACCATGAATCATTCCAATCGTGTTAATATGTCATGGAAAGTTAATCATACTATACTACCATGCATTCTCTATCTATGTAAATGTAGTAGAACATTACATAAATATAATTTCGTTTTTGCAAAGACACATACCGAAAAAAAAAATCTGTAAAAAAACCGTTCAAGTATTAGACAATTTTTTTGTATTTTAGCTAAAGGTCTTAGCTTTCAAAAATGCTTTGGAAGTGCGTCTTTAGAAATAAAAATTCTGTGTATTGATCTATTATCCAAGAAGCAATTACTCAATGAAATTCAATCATTAGTAAAATAAAACGAGAAAACTTTTAGGAAGAGACTTTTGAGACACCCTGTATATCTGACAAGACTATGAATTTCGTACTTTAAACTGTCAGACACTGCCATCGTCTGCCCATAAGCTTACAACTATTTGTATTGCTCTAAGAACTCTATAACTTAAGACATTGTACTACAGTGGTTTGCAAAAAAACTTGAAACAAACATTTGGCTTATATTAGCGCCTGAGTTAATCGTCTTGAAAAAAATGTTTCGTTATTTCATACACAA